TTCTCAGCTTATTTAAGTTTTCTCTTTTAGTCTTTGAGTTGTTATTGTTTTAAACCTTGCTTATTTCTAGTTCACCCTTTATTTCTAGCTTGTTAGTTTTGAATTGTAAGCTTTAATCTTGTTTAATTAAAATTCCAGCAAGTTCTTTGTTACTCATCTCTCTCTCTTCCTCATTACGAAGTTATAATCACTCAACCTTGAGGAATCGACTGAGTACTGCTCCCCAATCTTGAAAGAGAACGGGTTAGGGTCATTCACGCTACAACTCCACCATTTCCAGCTTGTTTTAATTCTACTCATCTTTTAATCATGTCTTTTACTTCCATTAACGTTCAATTCTGTTTTTCCTTTATTAGCATGAACTAAATTTATTTTTTCCAAGCCCGGTGATGGATAGTTAGTTAAAGTTTTTAATATCCAACAAGGCAAAAGGCGTTTTTTCTCCCATTTTATCACTTAAAGTTGTTTCCATAAGTTGAAATTTGATTTGGCCAATTAATGTTTTAACCAAGCATCAATACTAAAAGGGTTGATACGTTTTCACAACTTTACTGATTTAACTTTAGAGAGAAATACTTTAGATATAAAGATTTCGCTTGGGTAGCCTAGACATAGGACCTCGACCTAAGGTTACGGTTGGTTTTTACTAAATTAAGTTCCTTTTTCTAATAGAAATATTAGGAATGGACTTAAACCTTCAAAATCACTTAGATATCAGAAGATGGTGAAGTAAAATCGAAGAAAATTTATGAGAGGCGTCTGGCGCCTAGTTGGAAAAAGTTTGTGTATTTTTAGCTAATTTGAAGTAACTGGGCAGGGTTTATTGCATTGAGTTTTTAAATATCAAAACCAACATTATCCTTATTATTTGTCACCCCAACTTCAATTACAAAGTCACCAATCATTAACATTTCCTATAAAAAGACTTCATTTGTCCCTGAGGATCGATACTCGGAATACTCATTCCGTTGTGACGGGTGTACACTTGCGCTCTCATTTATTTTGAATCCAAAATCCAAAACAATTTTTATTTTCAAAAATTCGTAAATCTTTGTTTTGAACAAAATACAATTAAACAAAATCATTAGAAATTACAAAACTAAAAAAAAATATCTTAAATAAAATCCAAATTTTCCTTTTAAAACAAACTTTTTTTTAGATAAAAGAAAACTTCAAAACTAAAAAATAATAATAATAATTCACACCGAGTGCCCCATCCAATCAAGCTCAAAAAACGAAATGAGGGACCAATTAAGTCATTCATGTATTTAAAAAGAAAATAGAGGTTTTACCTCTATCAAATTGATTTCCAAAATAACGCATAACTCTTTGACAGTTAACTTTAAAAATATTACCCGAATTGTCTTCTAAGTCGATGGCCCCATGAGGATATACCTTTGCGATTTTGAATGGGCCAGACCAACGGGATTTTAACTTATCGGGAAACAGTCGGAGTCTGGAGTTAAATAATAAAACCTTCTCACCTACTTGGAGGTGCTTGGGCCTTATTCACCGATCATGCCACTGTTTTGTTTTTCTTTGTACATTTTGGCATTTTCGTATGAAAATTGCCTGAATTCTTCTAACTCGTTCAATTGGAACTTCTGTTATTCACGTGTAGCATTAAAGTCAAAATTTAGTTTTTTAGTGGCCCAATATGCTTTATATTCTAATTCAACAAGAAGATGACAAGCCTTACCGAATACTAGACGAAAAGGAGACATACCAAGAGGGGTCTTGAAAGCAGTTCAATATGTCCAAAGGGAATCATTTAATTTAATCGCCCAATCTTTCCTATTTGTATTGACTGTTTTTCTAGGATAGATTTAATTTCCCCGTTAGAGACCTCAGTCATGCCATTTGTTTGTGGGTGGTACGCAGTAGCAATCTTATGTTGGACATTATATTTTACTAACACTTAAACTACTGTCGTATTTACAAAATACGTTCCCTCGTCACTAATTATACATCTTGGAGTACCATAGCGATTAAAAATATTTTTTTTCAAAAATTGAATAACAATTATAGCATCATTTGCTGATGTTGCTATGGCTTCTATCTATTTAGACATATAATTGACGGCTAACAAAATGAAAATTTTACAAAATGACGATGGGAACGATCCCATAAAATCAATTCCCCATACGTCGAAAATTTCTACTTCTAAAATGGGGTTTAGAGGCATTTCATTTTTTTGGAAAATATTACCTACCCGTTGACACTTATCACATACCTAGACAAACTAGTGGGCGTCTCGAAATAAGGTGGGCCAAAAGAACTTTTGCGGTTTTTCGATCCGCAAAGTGCCCACCATACGGGGATGTATGGCATGCTTCCAGGATTTTTGCTTGTTCCTCTTCAGCTACACACCTGCGTAAGATATTACCAGAGCCTTATAATGATACGGCTCATCCCACTTATAGTGCTTAGCATCATGTAAACATTTCTTTACCTGTTGTGACTTAAACTCGTAAGGAAAGATGCCACTTACCAAACAATTTGCAATATCCGCATACCATGGGATGTTATCAATACGAAAGATCTGTTCATCAATAAAGTGTTCCTTGACTGCTGATGGGTCTTCTGGTATAGTGGACTCTAGTCGAGACAAGTGGTCTGCCACTTGGTTTTCTATACCTTTCCGATCTCGAATCTCTAAGTCAAATTCTTGAAGAAGTAAGATCCACCGAGTAAACCTTGGCTTCGCATCTTTCTTAGCAAACAAATACCTCAAGGCAGACTGGTCAGTAAAAACAATAACTTTAGAACCTATCAAATATGCTCTAAATTTATCAAAGGCAAATACAACAACTAATAGTTCTTTCTCTGTGATGGCATAGTTAAGCTGTGTTGCAATTAAGGTCTTACTGGCATAGTAAACTGGATGCAAAATTTTTTTTTTCTTTGCCCTAACATGACTCCTAATGCTTAGTCACTCGCATCACACATTACCTCAAAAGGTAAATTCCAGTCAGGTTCTACTACGATAGGAGTTGAACTCAATGCCTTCCTAAGAGTCTCAAATGAATTCATGCATTCTTCATCAAATTTAAATGGCCTATCAATTTCTAGCAAATGACATAAAGGTTTTGCCGACGATAAAATCCAGCATGACCCAAAAAACTTCGAATAACTTCAACTGACGAGGCTGGTGAAAGTTTTGAAATTAACTCAATTTTAACTCGATCTACTTCCATTCCTTTGTTTGAAATTTTGTGATCCAAAACAATGCCTTCTTTTACCATGAAATAACATTTCTCCCAATTTAAAACAAGGTTTGTTTTTTCACATCTCTCCAAAACTTTTTCAAGATTTTTAAGACAATTTTCAAAAGACTCTCCAAATATCAAAAAATCATCCATAAAAATTTCAATCACATTTTCAATCATGTCAGAAAAAATTGCCATCATACACCGCTGGAACTAATAGGTGTGTTACACAAACCGAAGGGCATTTGCCGAAATGCAAATGTTCCATAAGGGCAAGTGAAAGTTGTTTTCTTCCTGGTCCTTCGGGGCAATTGTGATCTGGTTATAACCTGTGTATCTGTCGAGAAAACAATAGAACTCCTTACTTGCAAGACGATCAAGCATTTGATCAATAAATGGAAGAGGAAAGTGATCCTTTTTTGTTACCTTATTGAGTTTGCGGTAATCCATACAAACTCTCCAGCCGATTACGGTTCGGGATGGGATCAACTCGTTCTTTTCATTTGTGATGACTGTCATGCCACCCTTTTTTGGCACACATTGAATTGGGTTGACCCAGCTACTGTTCGCTATTGGGTATATCACTCCCACGTCAAGCCACTTTAGAATTTCTTTCTTCACGACTTCTTGCATTTTAGGATTCAATCTTCTTTGATGTTCAATAGAGTTGATGGCACCTTCTTCCAAATTTATCTTATGCATGCAAAATGATGGACTAATTCCCTTGATATCTGCTATCGTCCATCCAATGGCTTTCTTGTACTTTGACAATACCTGCAACAACAAAATTTCATGTTCGTTAGTTAACGTTGCAGAGATGATTACAGGTAAAGTTTCTCCTAAGTATGCATATTTTAAATGAGTAGGCAAGGGTTTTTGTTCTAGTCGAGGTGGCTCAATGATTGATGGTTGCATCACTTTAAATTAATCTTTGCTCAAATCTCCAAACTCGAACTTCTCCATCGGCGATGAGGAAGTGCCTGCCTCTCTTTCCTTTTCTGCTGCTTCTAGTTCTTGCTCTAAACCTGGAGTTACCAATTCACAAAATTCTTTCATAGACATAGGGTTAGTTATCTGAATAGTCGAGCACTCTTCTGCTTCATCTGGAAGCAGCATAGCATCCAGTACGTTGAATGTCACTTGCTCGTCGTTCACCTTCATTGTGATCTCTCCCTTCTTTACGTTGAAAATTGTATCTCCTGTTGCGAGAAACGGCCTTCCAAGTATGATAGAGACGTCCAAGTTTGCTTCACAATCTAAAATAATGAAATCTGCAGGGAAGATAGACTTATCAACCTTGACTAGTACATCCTCTATTTTTCCCTCGGGTGTCCTGATTTTTCTTTACCAAACGTTGGGGAAAAAGAGGAGGAGGTCTAGAGTTACTTACCTACGGGGCAATTGACCCACTTACCTCACCTTCTACTGGTTGGTCAGGTTCTATTGTAGTCTCTTTTTCCTTTGAAGGACTGGATGCTTGTTCACCCGGCAGTTTTGGTCCTTCATAAGTTAACCCGCTTCGGGTTGTAATGGCTTTGCAATGCTCCTTACCCTCTCTCTTTGGCTCCTCTATAGTACTTGGTAATGTCCCTGGAGGTCGACTCCTAAGTTCATTGGCAAACTGCCCCATCTAAGCTTCCAAATTTCGCATAGTTACGTCATTTCTAGACGTGTAATCTTGTATAGCTGTGTCATTCCTTGTCGTGAATTCTCGCATAGCTGTGTCATTCCTAGTCGTGAATTCTTTCATCATACTGGTCATACATTCCTTCATCATACTTTCCATACTACTCAAACAAAACTGCGCTGGCTGTGGTGCATTATTCTGTTAATTATATTGCTGTGGAGGTAGAGGTAAAGCAAGGACTCCAGGAGGGTTATAGGTCTTATATTGTTGGTTTTGAACTTGACCCGCATTGTTGAAACTCCATTGCCCACTCCATGAAAATTAGGATGGTGCCTCCATCCCGGGTTGTAGGTGTTGGAGTAAGGATTAAAGTTCATTTGATTCCCTTTCGCTATATAACATAAAGAAGCTGGATTAGATAGGCAATTTTCAGAATTATGAGAATCTCCACAATAATAACAAATAGACTCAATCATATGATAAACAAGAGCAAGCTTGGTATTTGTTGTTGATGCTGGTGTAGGTGCGGGATTGTACCCTTGCATATTCTTCATCATTTGTGTAAGGGTATCTAATTGACTCTGCATTGATGACATCGCATCAAGATTAAACACTCCTGCTTGATCTATGGTCTTTGGTTGAATCCTCGATCTCTCTGAGTACCATAGATCGTTATGTTCAGTTAACTGATCAAGAATGGTGACGATCTCGTTGTATGTCTTAAAAGTCAACTTTCCATTCGCGACTGTGTTTAACATCATTTTTGTTGGTATATCACAACCTCGATAAAAATGTTCAATTTGTACACAGGCCGGGATTCCTAAGTTTGGGCAACTTCTCATTAGCTCCTTAAAACGTTCCCATGCTTCGTCGACCGCTTCATTCTTTCTTTGCCTAAAGGAAATGATTTCCTCCCTCACGTCTGCATTTTTTGTGGGTGGGAAATACTTTGTAAGGAACTTGTCCACCATGGTTCCCCATAAATTGGTGGAGTCTGGAGGAAAAGCATTCAACCATGCAGTTGCTTGACCTGAAAGGGAAAAGGGAAATAATTTTAGTCTTAAAGCATCGTCAGATATTCCTGGTAATCTAAAATCATTTGCCACTTGGATAAAAGATTTAAGGTGGGAATGTGGATCCTCATGTTTGGGTATTGCAAACTGGCCAATAGTGTTACGCATTTGGAGCATCATCGACTTGAATTCAAATTGGGAATCGTCTGGAATTGGATTTTTAATGCTCGCGTTTAAGTTCTCTAAGGTAGTGGTTGCATAGTAGCGCATTCCAATGTCTCTTTAATCGACCAATAAAATTGGATTTGGTACTTCTTCTACCATCTTGGTGCTTACTTCGTCAAATTCTCTATCTCTTTCTTTTTCTTTCTCTTTTTGGATTTTCTCCTGATGTTTTCTCAGTCTCTGCTCACGCCTTAACCTCTTGCAAGTTTTCTCGATCTCGGGATCGTACAGAAGCAAGTGTGAATTTATGCTGATTCACTAATGTTCACTTTTCAGGTTCGATAGGGGGATATTTTCAGAAAAGAAATGGTGAAGTGATTGTACACAAAAACAATTCTCAAAGAATAAAATTAAAACAAAAACAAAGTCCCTGGCAACGGTGCCAAAAACTTGTTGCGCCTCATCTGAATAGCTAAAGGGTAGAGTGCAAGTGCACACTGTCACAAGTAATAATATGGAATTATTCCAAGTTCGTCTCCACAGGGACTAGTTTTTTTTTTTTGAAATTAAATTTGAAAACTGTTAGAATGAGCAATCAGGTTTGTGATAAAAATTGGTGAGATTGGATGAACACAAAAAACACACGAAAATAATAGAATTTAAAAGGTCAACCCCCTACTTTTGTTTAGTTCTAAAATGATGAATTACACCTACCAAATGTGCACGTAATTATGCTCAATTTATGCAAACTGGTTCAACTCCTATTCCATACCGCTTTTGGTTTGTTTAGAAGTTTAGGCTAGTGTTTACATATGTCTATGCAACTCTAGAATCATAAATAAATTAAATGTCAACTTACATTTAACGGGTAAGAAAGCCTATGTCTATGATCTTGTTTTAGTTCCTATTTCTAAGTAACTTCCCATTTTACCTTGATGAGATCCGTTTGACTCTAACCTTATCAAAATTAAACTTAAAACTTAAAAGCTAAAGTTGACAAGAATTAGAAAGAAAAAGCAAAGCATGGAAAATTAGATGTGTAGAAGTGAGCTTGGAGGCTCCTTTTATAGGCCATGGAAGTAACATGGATTTGAGAAATTCAAGGGAAGTTGGCAACCACTTATTGTAAAGATATTAGGAGTAAAATTGAATATTGGACCAATAATTTGGTCAAAAGTTTTTCTTTCCATTTTGACAATCTATGCATCAAATGTGGTTGACGCATTGTGAAGCTGGAATTTCTAAAGCAATTGGATGGCGCATCCTTCTAATAATCTGGAAATACTTGATGTGCGATGTGCCTGACGCATTGCAGTCATCAATTTTCAATTCTCCTTACAAAATAAACAAATTTTCATCAATTAGCCTCTATTTGCTTCTAACTAACTGTCTAAGTCCTTCATAACGAAATTTGCACATTTTTCCATAAATTATATGCAACATACATTTTCCATCATAATTAACTCCCAACTAAGCATGTAAAGCTACTCTTTTTAGCCTTTAATCAAGTATTATCAATAAGATAATGGGTCCTCGATGCCATCATCAGGTATGACGACCTGGAATTCTGTTAATCCCACGTAACGGTTAGGCTGAGTTAAAACCCTTCCACTACGTCGAGGTCCTCTCAAATCTTGTGAAGTTTGATGTTGGCTCGATGTACTGGCTCCGTCAATAATCATTGTTGATGGTCCAACAGTATCAGCAACTTTTGCTGTCGTACTAATGGCTTCATTGGAAATTTCATTGAACACCATTTTACTACATGGTTGATGATGTCTTACTTGGTATTCTTCTAGGAAATTAGCATCTGTCGATACAAATACTTTATTTTCCTTATGATCGAAGAAGTAACCACCTCTCGTTTCTTTCAGATAACCTACAAATAGACATACCTTTGAACGTGATTCCAATTTATTCAGGTTTGCCACAAGAACATATGTTGGACATCCCCAAACTCTGAAATGTCTTAAACTAGGTTTATGACCTCTCCAAAGTTCAAAACGGTATCTCGGAAACCTTCTTTCATTGAATATTGTTTAGGATATAAACTGTAGTCTCCACTACATTACCCCAGAATGAGTCAGGCAATTGAGCATAGCTCATCATTGACCGAACCATGTCTAACAAGGTTTTATTCCTCCTTTCTGACACACCATTTTGTTGTTGATACACGACAACCCAAGCGTATTGTACTACTCGAGGCACAAGCCACTTGAATCCAATGGTATAAACGGTTTCAACCCGAAAGGCTAAGAGTTAGACATATTACCTTTGTAGTCACCTTGAGTAGACAGAATACTCACTATACTCAAAGCCGAAAATACTCCACGAGTTTGGCGACTAACCAACCAAGCATGCTCCGAGGGTAAAATACGAAAACCTAAGTTCAACCACACATGGTGATTCGGTATTTTAGGGGGGGAGGGGTTAGCACTCGGGAAGGGTGAGAAAACTCTCGAGTTTTTATTCAATTCAACATTCAAAAGATGATCCAAAATAAAGGAGGTACACGCCTATATAGAGGCTAAGGCCCATGGCCTTTACAAGGAAAATAACAAAATTAAAAATGATAAATTCCTAAAATGTAAAGAACTTGCCTAAATGTGAATTTAAATTGCTAAAGTAAAAGAAATAAATCAAAATAAAATAAAATCATTTAAATCAAACTCTTTCCTCAAATGCTTTTGGAACAAATTAGGAAAATAGATTCCTAAACTGTTCCAAGAGTGGGCGGCAATGAACGTCAAGGGGATTGGCCCGCACGTGTGGT